CACCTCCAGGGCCACCCGTCGTCTCTTCGACAGGCTCTCCACTACCGGCACGGGATGACTCGCCCGTGGAGCGGACGGTAGGGACTGGAGTCTCAGGTTGAGAAGTAGCTATCACGCTTGCAGCTCCGACGGTAGGTGCAGATTGGTTAGCGACTCTCGATGTAGGCCGAATAGCAACCCTCGGCGTAGGACGGGCTGGGGGTGCCAGTTGATAGAATACGAGAGGAGGAGCCCTCGTCCTTCGCGTTCTCCCTGCGAACAAAGAAAAACGTTCATATAACGACAAGGTCGAGCCTTACAGAAAATAGAGCAGGCCGACTCACCAGCGAGAGATTTACGCTCATATTTCTCGTGGAAGGATGTCAACTCACGAATGTCCCTTGTATGGGGAATAACCGCGCCCACCATATCACGAATATCGTCAAATGGAGGGGGAGGTAATCTCTCAACTACAAAGTAAAAACAAGTCAGCAAAATCGCCCAAAGAAGAAAGATCGGCAATCGCCTTGAGAAAAATCGCAAAACAAACAGAACTTACGAGCAAAGTTCCATGTCTCAGAGAAACCTGTTAGGTCCGCCACAAGGTGCTCTGTCCGCACGTAAAAATAGCTTTCCCAGAAGCGACGGTTAGCCTTATCACATCTTCACCACTAAACTCTTTGCTCCCCGATGGCGCATATGAATCATCGTGCCCCGAAGAAATTGAGGGGCAAAAATATTAAGCATGTGCCACAAAGTAATCCCTCAACCAGCGAGCTCCGCATACTTGATGAGCATGAGGAAGAGCTTGTACGCGTACAGTGAGATCTGAGCCGGGCACACCTCATAGAAATGGCAAAAGTCTATCACTAGATGATAGGTTTTCAATATCTTTGCCTTCTGTTTTGATGATCTAACAAACTTAATGTCAAGCCAGATAGGGAACCTGACTCACTTGGATTAACACTGCATCTAACGGATTCCAGCCAAATGTGAACTTGCTACAGCTTCAGGAGGTAGGAACCCAAACAAGGACTTGATACTCTTGTAGGTTCCTCACGGCAGTACAAAGTCAATTGGACACAGCTGGAAACGAAGTAACTGTCTGCACTGTTTCTGCCGCACTGCAGTGTTTCCAGCGCCCACTCATTCTCTGATCAACTAAAGTGCTCACATTATTTCAAGTGATGTGATCAAGGTGTACCTACAATGAGTTTATACAAAACATCATTCAAGTTACTCAACTCAAGACAATCTAGGCAGTGTGCACAAGAACCAGATTAGGAACCTGATCCCTTGGTGCTCCCCTGACAGAAGTACAAGTCAACTATACAGCTGGAACGCAACTGCAGAAAGTGACTGTCCGCAATTGTACAAAGAGGAACACAACAGGGACCTGGTCCCTTAGGGTTCTCTGACAGAAGTACAAGTCAACTATACAGCTGGAACACAACTGCAGAAAGTGACTGTCCGCAACTGTACAAAGAGGAACACAACAGGGACCTGGTCCCTTAGGGTTCTCTGACAGAAGTACAAGTCAACCATAGCTGGAAAGCAAATGCAGAAAGTGACTGCCTGCAACTGTACACGCGACAGTGCAACAGTCACTTCGCATTGAGAAAAAGCATGTACTAACCAAGATTTGACATCACCATTGTGAATTGACATCACCATGGTAATGTCTTTTGATATATAACAACCTGGTGCATGGGATCTCATCACTTGAACACTTGCAAATCTGAAAAGAAAACATCCTCTCAAGTGCTAGCAACAGACTCTCTCAGGTACAAAGCTACAGCAACCTCAAGGACCAGATCCAAGATTGAAGACATCTTAAGTCCTTAGGTTTTGTTGAGTCTGTGTTATGTGCTCTTCATTGTAACTCCTATCCTGCTTTCTTAGAAGCGTTTATTAGGAAACCTTTGTAAATTCGCAAACTCTCTGAGTTTATATTGTGGCTAGGTTTAATCATAAGCGAAAGCCTTTGTAACCGTAGTGTGACAAAGTGGCTTGTGGTGAAAACATCACAAGTTAGTCAAAGACTTTGTAACTAGGATAGTTATAGAGTGGCTTGTGATGAGAGCATCACAAGTTATTTGAAGTCTTTGTATAGTGTTATTGCAAAGTGACTTGTGATAGAGATTGCAAGTTAGTGAAGTTAAAAGCCTACAGGTGTAGGTCGTGGTTTTTCTATCCCCTTGTGTGGGATTTTTTCACGTAAAATCCTCTGCCTTATTTACGTACAGTTTTATTAGCATTCTCAGCAGAATCTCGTAGAGGACCAGGTACTCTACTGGTTGGTGGACTCACACAAACTAACACTAGAGAAGGGAAAGAAAGCGTATACCCGACAACAAAAAGATACGCATAAAATGCGCAGTACCCCGGGCGGTTCAAGTGCAAGATGTCCACCCCATCGCCGGCATTATTTCGATATGGTTTGGGATTCCCCATTTAGCTTTGAGCGCCATAATTGCCGCTTCATCCATGGTAGAGGGGACAGGTTCCGGTTCGTCTCTGGCTGGTCCATAACTTCCCCGGACGGGGCAGTATCTCATCCACAGTCGGAAACCTCTGGTCTTTCGCCACCTCCATCCTCTCTCCAAGAAGGGGTGTATCATTTTTCGGCACCGGAGCTCCGACGAATTTGTCAGTCTGAGAAGAGGAATCAGCCACTTATCTAGCTTGGTTGGATGAACAAGAGTGATGAAGGAATAAAAAGGGTGGACACGTCTTCTTCTGACAAAAGCAGGAGTATGAAATGTGGAAAAAGGTGGAAGTTTGCAAAATTCTTCAAGCAAGTCGAAAAGCGTAACAATCGAATGATGAGTTCCCCCCATATATAGGAACACAAATGACCTGAGCGGGAAACCCAAGAGCCGCCAAAAGCTGAAAACGCACGAGAAGCGATACGGTGCCTGGGGAACATGTGTCATAATGACACGTAACAGGCATTCATGGTAGCCCAAACCGACGTGACGATCCATCTCCAAACGGACGTTTCGGTAAAGTTCCTAAAACATCACTGCCATCTCACTGTAAGGACTCCGTCCTCGCATAATGACCAGATTTCTCCTAAATTCCTGAATATACAGGATCCGCCCATTGAGCTCGCCCAGAAGACGACCCCAACGGACGAGGGACTAACTGTATGGGTCAAAATCTGACTCTGATAACTGGAGGCGATAAAAAAGTTCGACCCTGTCATGACCGTGCCCACGAGGCGTAATTGCGACGGGCCCCACGATCCTTGTCGGGGTCATGCCGTCAAAAAGCTTACATCGCGGGATAAGCGTACGGTCTTGGATAAGTAACAAAGGACTGTCACGGGAAAGGACACTGGTCAAAGACTGTTGGATAAAAGGGAACATTGTTGATATATAAAAGAAAGGAGAGAACTGTGAAAGAGGGACTGGCTAGGACTAACAAGAGCAATACTACGAAGCCAAGGGGAGAAGATTCCTCAGTTATCTACATCTTCCTTTTCATCTTTTATACTCCTTCCACTGTAATCCAAGTCTGTCATAGATATAAGCTTACTGTTCTCACTTAATGTATGATAGCTATCTCAAGAAATATTAAATTAGTTTATTCTCTTCCAATTTTTATACTCAATATGTTGCGATCTAGAGTTATTACCTTTGGCTAAGATTTATCCTTTATTCCATTCATTAATTAGTTTCACTAGAAATTTAATACTTTTTGGTCAAACAAACATAATAGAAGAATAATCTGGAATATATTTGTTAATGCTCGAGTGTCAATGTAGCAGTCATTTCAAAAGGTAATACTTGCCAAAAAGAAAAGGAGAAAGAAAGATGTTAGAAACTAAAAGCACTAATTACTGTCAATGGTGATGAATCTTTTCACGGTTGTTTTGCGTACTAGAAATCAAATTTTCCCTTTCTCACATAATCTGATTTGAGAAAAATCCTCAATTTTTTGCAATGATTTTATAGGATAAAAAAGAACCGTAGTGGTGAAAACAAAAACAAGAAATTTTGTGTACTGGAAATCCATATATCTGCCATGATTCGACAAGTGTATATCAGTGTATATCCCCTGGATATCCGTGTATGTCTCTCTATATTTGTGTCACATGTATAACAAGGTATACAATAATATGGACAATATATAATATGATATACAATATCAGAAATGTGCCTGAAATAGGACTTTCTGGTGACTTGCCATGACTTGACAAGTGTATATTAGTGTGTGTGTATATATATATATATATATATATATATATATATATATATATATATATATATATATATTTGTATATTCATGAAAATATGTGTGTGATATATAGTAATATACAACTTAATATATATTCGTCTGTCTTCATCGTATTAAGCCGACATACACCCGTGGTTTCATACACAAATGAAATATCTTTCTTGTTAGAAACAAAATAAATTTTACTACTTAATTATATTACCCTTAGAGTCAGAAAATGTGCTATAAAAGAAACTTTCCGATAACCTACCATCTTTTACGGCTACAAAGGATTACCTTGAAATTTTTATGGGATTATTGTGGGGCTGATGGAGGAGATCTAGGGTGGCTTGAGAAAAATGTGAAAAAAGAGAAGTAAAATTATAAGATTATAAGGGTTACATATTGCTAATTTTTGGGGGCTATGTGTGCAAATGTCAATTATTGGCTAAATAGTTGTCAAATTCTCTTTAGATTCGTATAAAAGTGTCAATTAGTAGGGGATTTTTACACAAATAACCGGGCATATTCATTGTTATTTTTTCTAGTCATTTACATGGTCTATACATTGATTATATATAATTATACATATATAATACATAAATTATACTTATATAGTTTAAGAAATTGGATAGACGGCTATTTGGGTTAATTCTTCAATTAGTAGAGTGCCGACCAGATTTGTTTGGTAATTAACTCTGAATGGGCTTGGGCTTTGGAAAAAGCATGGGTAGGCCCATTATCTTTGGCGATAAAAAAAACCCCTTCAATTGGGCGGTAAACCCTTCATTTGATATAATTGCCACCACAGAGCTAAAACCCTAGGCCGTTTCTGCTTCTGTTCGTCAGCTTCTCCGGAGCTCTTCCGCCGTCGTGCTTGGCGGCGCAATCATGATGAAACGGCATTGCGAAGAAACAAATTCCAATGGAGCGCCGGCAATCGAACCTGCGACGTCGTACAACACCGTTTTTGTAGATACCAACTTTGATACTCACTTAGCTTTAGTTGTCTCCGACTCGGATTCTGTGTTCGATCTCAAAAGTAATTTTCCCCTTTTCTCTATTATATATACGTATTGTTTTTAAATTTTCACTGGATTTAATACATTTTCATTTGTGGATGCTCTGTTAGTAAAATTACTTTGACTCATCATAAAATAAAACGTTGACGCATTGGGGCATTTGCACTCACTGCTTGTATGTTGGGTATGCCAAAAAGGTAAAAGTTGTTGGTTAATTTTGTATGAGTTTAAGTTCTATGCGCTGAATGTCTTTAATTATGGTAACACGAATGGTCACTTATTAGGTAATCACACGTTAATCTCTTGATAAATATTAATTGTTAATCATAAAATTACTTTGACTCATCATAAAATAAAACGTTGACGCATTGGGTGCATTTGCACTCACTGCTTGTATGTTGGGTATGCCAAAAAGGTAAAAACTGTTGGTTAATTTTGTATGAGTTTAAGTTCTATGCGCTGAATGTCTTTAAATATGGTAACACGAATGGTCACTTATTAGGTAATCACAGTTTAATCTCTTGATAAATATTAATTGTTAATCCGGTAAGAATGGTAACTGACCTGTTATCGCATGTCAAATTTGGTGTTAATTTTTTTTTTTTAAATTTGTCGGTGTATGTAACTTAAATACATTTTGTATCCAGAGTATAAGTTTCGCTTTGTTGGTTCTAATTTGCTTATAAGTGATTTTAGTTTCTCAATCAACGAACGGTTAAGTTACAAAAGAGTTGAGTTGGCTGATGAAATGTGTTTGCGTTAAGCAGAAAAGGTTGCGTTTGAACATTTAAGGTGCTTTCCTGAGATGAAAGAGTTGAAGATTTCTGCAGTGAAGGTCTGTTGCTAATCCTCCAACTCATTGTTATTTTGTGTATATATATTCTTGTAAAATCATGATGATCGATGCCTTTTGTTATTCCTAAAAAGGTGAAACGGAGAGGACATTACTATCACCTGTCCGATACTATGCTTGTCAGAAGTGTTTTTGAGGGTATAAAAAATGGCTGGTTCCTTTCTGTTGATGCTTCTAGCTGTGACCAACAGTTACTTTGCATCACATATGCGCAAACTGAACCTGACAATCATTCGTTCACTGAAATGGCTAAAGAGAAGGTTTTTGATACTAATGAACCTCACATAGTTCATGCTAACTTAGCATCAAGCTCCATCGCGAAACAGAAGAAAGTCGCAAAGGTCATTGGTGAATTCAAGACCATGGATGAATATCAGCAACTTTCTCTCGGAGCTGGTCCTGTGGCTAAGAAGCTTCACACAGAAGAAGGCTTAGTCACAGATACCCGCACTTCAAAGCATGTGATAGATAATGATGCTTCTGAATCTAAGGTTGTTGAAAATGATACTAATAAAGGAGAAAGAGAGCATACAAACATGAGATCCAAAAATGCCAGTGCTGAACCTTTACCTTCTGATCACAGTAATAAGGTGTCAAAATTGGGAAAGAAGAAATGTAGGATAGTTGGGGCAAGTGCTGAAATTTCTGGTGTGCAGGACGCGCACTGTGGGAATAGGAACAATGATATACTTGACGAAACATCAGAGTCCGGGAGTATTGCGAATAAAGTGAAAAAATTGGATAGCAAGGAAAGGCGTCGAGGTTCCACCGGGTTTAATCGTAGGGATGTTGCAATACCGGACAACTCCACAGAACATAGACCAATAATAAAAGCAGCTTTGGCAGAAACGTTGGAGGACCAATCTTTGAGAACAGATACAGCTCATAAGAAGAGGAAAAAGAAGGAAAAGGACTCATCCACTTGCCATGATGAAGGAGTTGAAATGAAGATTTTTGACAAGTTGACCGATACTACTATTCAATCTGGATTGAAAGAAACGGTGCGTTCGCAGAAAAGAGCAAAATTATCTGATTTAAACATTCACTTTCACAGTACAACAACTGTAAACAGGGCTTCAATGCATGTCAAAAAGAGAAATGAACAACGAGAAAAAGATAGTTAAAATGATATCTAACATCAAATCCCACTGATATCATGAAGACACAACTAGAACTTGTCATGCTTGAGTTATTCCCACCAAACACAAAGGAGACGGCAAAATGGTTAGCAATTGAAAATTTTTAACCTACCTTATTTATAATACTACCAAGTATAAGAGCATACATACTACAATTCACAAATAGTTATACTTACCTCTAACTAATGAAAGAAGAAACCTTTGAAGTTGTACTTCCGCCACTTTTTATTGATGTTCATAAGTATGTTAACTTGATTTTTCTTAAAAGAGCAATTACTTTTGAATGATATTTGTAAGCTAGACTGTATTTTCTTGACCAAAAGTATGAAAGCTGATCCAAGTCGAGAAAACGACTCAGCAGAGAGATGCCACCTTTAGTCAAAAACTCAAATGCCAAGTCATGCTCCTTAAATGATTAAATTTATGCATTAAATAACCACCATCACAGTAGCTGGAAATTTCAACAACTATTATTTTAAGACTCAGAATATATAATACATTGAACCAAAAAAATCACTATACTGTCCAGATAGCAATAGCTTCTCATTCCTTCTTGGTAACAAGTTGGATTTATGGTGTCCATGAAACAGTATTTTGTGCACTCCTACTCTTTTCCCCCCTTCTAATTATTAACGTCAGTTCTCTTCCTTCGGTAAATACATCTACCTACAAATTATCAGATTCTATGTACTACACTTTTGGCCATTTATCTTATGTAATTAACTATCTGATATTTTATATTTGTGATATATTATTCTATTAGCTTCTTATCTTTTGCTTCATTTTATATAGGCCAAGCACATAGACAGCCCCTTAAAGTTGGCATTAATTTTCATTTTGACACTCCACCTTAGGCATGTTCCATTTGAACACTTTAACTTCTATTAAAGTGTACCAGTTAAGCCCCTCAAAACTAACCTGTAAATAACATGGAGTGCGTAGACTTCACGCACAATGATCCGGCGAAAAGAGCCAATTAAAAAATAACACGTGGCATTTGACTAATTAATCCAACAAAAAATTTTTGAGAAATGAAAAACTCTTTTGTTAGGATTTAACATGCTAAAACAACTTCACATCTAATAAACATAAGAACGTAAGAGCCCTAAACGATCAAATTTCCACAAATAAGCCCGAGTACGTACTCGTCGCCTCACGTGCACGGCCTTCACATGACACAATTAGCACAATAACTCAAATCCTAAGGGGTAGTCTCCCCCCCCCCCCCCAACCCACACACACAAAGTTAGGCAAGGTGCTTATCTCAGAGAAGCTAGACCGACACTCTAAAATAACCTTCTCGAGTGAGCAACCTCCGGACGGCTAAAATCTAGCCAAAATAACTTCAAATCATAAATAAAACTCATAGGAAACATTTTTCGGATAATAAAGCTTCGGTCTTTAATTAAAAATAAAATGCCAACCATGTGCCCGCACTTCGGAACCTGATAAAATTCATAAAATCCGAAATCCCATTCTGATACGAGTCCAATCATGCAAAAATTATCAAAATCCGATATTGAATCGCTCTTCAAATCGTCATTTTATATTTTTGAAAGATTTCACAAAATTTTCATTTTCTTCCATTCAATTCACTAATTTAATGATAAAAATAAAGATAAAATCAAATTCGAGTAAAGATCACTTACCCCAAACAACCACGTGAAGAACCCCTCAAAAATCGCCCAAATTCGAAGTCTACAACTCAAAATATGATGAATATGGTCCACTATTTTTAGAAACCTCTCCAGGCAAGTCGCGTTTGACACCTGAGATTTATAAATCGCATTTGACACCTGCGATTTGCCTCTGTTCCCTCAAACCCTAGAAAAACAGCAGTCTTTCCCGACATGATAATGGGCATGACTCTCTTATACAACCTCGGAATGCGACGATTCTTGTTGCTATGGTTCTGTAATTATGATATGGATCTGATGCTTCAATCAAAATACAAATCATAGGTCGTTTGCATAATGTAGTACCCTTTATGCCAAAAGAAACGGCGTCGAAATATCAAATAAGAGTGCGGCACAATCCAAGCCCATCCGAAACTCACCCGAGCCCAATGGGACCCCAACCAAGTATACTAACAAGTCCCAAAACATGATGCGAACTTGCTCGAAGCCTCAAATTGCCTATAAGATTCAAGCCTAAGAAACTTATGAACTTCCGACTTCCAAAACCAATGTCGATTCATACCAAATCAACTCTGATTGACTTCAAATTTTGCACGCAAGTCACAAATGGCAGTACAGATCTATTCCAATTTCCGGAACCAGGATCCGACCCTGACATCAATAAAGTCAACTCCCGGTCAAACTTTCCAAAATCTTCTATTTTTTCCAACTTTCGCCAATTCATGTCGATACGACCTATAAGATCAAAATCATCATACGGAGCTATTGAAACCATCAAAATGTCATTTCGGAGTCGTCTGCACAAAAGCCAAACTCCGGTCAACTCTTAGAATCCTTCTTCCAAGTCATCCCGAATCATCCGAAATCTGAACTCGACCACGCACGTACATCATAACACATAATACGAAGCTGCTCGAGACTTTAAGCCACCGAACGGGTCGCTAATCCTCAAAACAACTAGTCGGGTCGTTACATGAACTCTTTTCATTGCTCTGTTTCCCTTTTCTGTTTTGTTCTTAAAGTATTAAGAACAAATTAATAGAAATGACTACCTAAACAAAGATTTCTTGGATGTCCATAAACCAAAAGTATGAAAGCTGATCCAAGTCAAATAACTTGGTACTAATTCAGATGCCAAGTCACGCTCCTCAAAGGATTAAAACATGCCACTTTTGCTGAAGTTTCTAGCTCATATGAAATATCAGAAGCATTGTTCACCTGTGTGCATTGTGGACAATGTGGAGGTGACTTTTGTAAGAAAATCAGTAAATAATATTGACTAAAAACAACAAGGAAAGAAGACTACAATTTATCAAAAATACTGTGTCGTGGCAAGCCACTGCCTTGAAAGCGATTTCAGCCCGACTGGATGCAAATCGTTAAGGCCGGTCGCTCCCCAAGGTTCCACAGAACCTCCAAATACATGCACTCGTGACTGGAAGCTAAGAATTTGCACAAAACAGTTGCCCAGGAAGAAGAGAAGATGAAGGTATTTTATGTGTTGGATAATTCACAAAGAAGACTAGGAAGAAAGGAATGATTAGCTAGATGTATTCTTGGTTAAGAATTGAGTGATTATGATGGCTAAATCATAACCTATTTATAGGAAATTAAGGAGGTTGCATGTATGACAAGTGTCGAGAGACTTTTGACACTTGTCCCATTATGTTAGTCCACTTGGCTCCAATATTGACAAGTGTATCTTGTCTTCTATGCATGAAGACATATAGATTCGCATAGCCATTTGTCAAAGCCATTCAACACTTGGCTTTAAGGCTTCATGCAAGAGGCCACTTGGAAATAGATGGGACATTTGAAAAATAAAAGACTCATGGCTATTGGTTGTAAATCGAATTTCAAAAAGAAATTTTTGATTTTGCATTATGAATAATTTCAACAATCCCCCACTAATGCAAAGACAAAAATAGAACAATTCTGGGCAAAAGAAGGAACATGTACTTAAGTGTCAATATCTTTCGATTTGAATTGACACGTAGTGAAATGAGGCAACAACTAACATCCACAAAGTGAAGTACCCTTAAACTGAATGGACATTAGCTGAGACCCCCACAACACATACTATATCCTTAATTTTATGCAAAATTCTGCGATACTAACAAAGTGCTTTTATGGTCATGCACATACCTTGGGTCTCATGAGTGCTCTAGAAAGGCATCCCAAGTGTTTCATAAAAGGCGACCGCACCTTTACACTCACGTAGGTGATTCCATCAAGTCTATCTACACATAGACTACCTTAAGGCTATGGAATTATTAAGAGCACAATAAGCTCAACCTTATAAAGCACTACCACACGCCATAGGGATAGGAAATGTAGTGCATATTAAGGTCTCATATGGCTTCGTTTGACCACAAATTGGTATCCACCATACTTCCTCAATCCATGGGCTTTAGCCCCATCCCCCTTGACGTTTCAAGGATAACTCTCCTTGCCAAACCCTTGGTTAAAGGATCCGCCAAATTTCTTTCGAATCTTACATATTCCAAGGAAATAGCACCATGTTTCAATAACTGTTTTACCGCACCATGCCTAATACGGATATGTCTTCTTTTTCCATTGTACACACTATTTTTGGCAATTCCAATTACTGCCTGTGAGTCACAATGTAGAGAAACTGGTGAAGCTTGTCTTCCCCATAAAGGCACGTCTGCCAATAAGTTTCTCAACCACTCGGCTTCTTGCCCTGCCAACTCAAGAGCAATGAATTCAGACTCCATAGTAGATCGTGCTATACAAGTCTGTTTTGAAGACTTCCATGAAATAGCACCTGCACCCAAAGTGAACACATAGCCACTAGTGGAGCTAACTTCATCATTGTCAGTAACCCAGTTTGCATCACAAAATCCTTCTAAAACAGCAGGAAATTTATTAAAATGCAAACAACAATCCATAGTACCTCTCAAATATCTTAGCAAACGATGAACAACATTCCAGTGTTCACTACTAGGGTTGTGAGTATATCTACTCAATCTACTAACAGCATAAGCAATATCAGGTCGTGTATAATTCACGAGAAACATTACACTACCAATTATCTTAGCATACTCAGTTTGAGAAATACTAGATTCCTTATTCTTTTTCAAGTGTATGCTAGGATAATAAGGAGTTCTCACAGGTGTTACATCAAAACAATTAAACCTTTTCAATATTTTTTCAATATAATGAGATTGAGACAATGAAAAACCATTAGAAGTTCTTTTGATTTTAACCCCTAAAATCACATCTGCTTCTCCAAGATCTTTCATTTCAAACTTAGAAGACAAAAATTTTTTAGTCTCATTAACAACATTCACATTAGGGCCAAAGATTAACATGTCATCCACATACAAATATATAATAACACAATCTGATCCTATCATCTTGGAATAAACACAAGTATAGATGCATTAACAACAAAACCATTATCCATTAATGTGCTATTAAACTTTTCATACCATTGCTTAGGTGCCTGCTTTAGACCATACAAAGACTTTCTCAATTTGTATACTTTATTCTCTTGTCCTTGGATCATAAATCCCTCAGGTTGAGACATATAGATCTCTTCCTATAAATCACCATTTAGGAAAGCTGTTTTAACATCCATTTGATGTATTACCAAATTATGAATAGCG